CTTTGTGTGTAAGATGTGTCTCTTGCAGGCAGCATATTGATGGATCTTGTTTTCTTATCCCTTCTGCCACTATTTGTCTCTTCACTGGTGCATTCAATCCATTGACATTCAATATAATTATCTATAAGTATGAATTGATTGCTATCATTATGTTACTTTTTTGGCTGTGCTGTTTGCTCTTTGGTTCTGCTTTCCTTCTTGTGTTGGATTTGTGTATTTTGAGTTGTTTCTTGTCAGTTTCTTCCTAGTTTCTATGTTTGTTTGTTCTGCTTGGGAATTCATTTTTATGATACGTTGAGGAGTGTTAACTTTCTTTGGGGTTAACTTGTAGTCTACTAACTTTTCTCTGCATTTAGGATACTCCATTGTAACCTGTAATTTACCTGGCATCCCCACCACCTGGGCTTCCGTTGCTGCATTTGTCCCTTCTTTGACATTGATATATTTTTGGCCTTCAGTTGACCTCTCCAATCCTTTGAGTTTGTTGTTGTAGTCTCGTTCTGTTCTGGACTCTGCTACCTGTTGGCTATGTTCCATGTGGTGTTGCTAACTGTCGATCTCTGATGTCTGTTCTTGTTGGTTCTCCATCCACAGAACTCCCCATAGGATGTTTTGAAGTGCTGGGTTGGTTTTGATAAAATCTCTCAGATTCTGTTTATCCAGGAATGTTTCAATCGCACCATTGTATTTGATTGATAGTTTTGCTGAATAGACGATTCTTGGTTGACAGTTTTTTCTTGCAGGGCTTTGTATATGTCTCCCCATTGCCTTCTTGCCTGCATAGTTTGTTTTGAATAGTCAGAGCTTAATCTAATTTGCTTGCTTTTATGAGTCATATTTCTCTTCTCCCTGGCCACTTTTAGTATTCTTTCTTTTTTTTGGAGAGCTTATTATATGTCTTGGAGACTTTCTTTTGGGGTCTATCCTTCCTGGGGTATGTTGGGCTTCTTGAATGTTTACCTCTCCATCTTTCAAGATGTTAGGGAGATTTTCTTCCAGAAGCTCTTCAACTATCTCCTCTGGGACTTCTCTGATTCTTCTTGTTCCGGAATGCCAGTAATTCTTACATTATTCCTCTTCATGTTATCCAGCATGAATCTTTAGACTCTCTTCAGACTGTTTATCCTTTTAGCTGCTTGCTCTTGTATCTTGGCAGTATTGAAAGATTTGTCTTCCAGTTCTGGCTTCCATTTCTTCTAGTCTGCTCCTTTCCCCTTTCAGCCTATTGTCCATTTCTGATATCTTTTTATTGATAATCTGGACATCTTTTTGCAGGTTTTGAATTGTTTCCAATGCTGTGTCAATCCTATTTGAATGTTCCTGCAGTACTTTCCTTACTTCTTCCTTATTTTCCTTGACCCCTTTTTGGAGTATTTGAATTTGTTTCCATATCATTCTTCTGAATTCCCTCTTAGGCATATCCAGAACCCGCTCCTCCTCCTCTATAAAGCCTTTGTCTGTCTCCAGCTCATTTGAATCAGCTGCTCTCTTCTGGTTTTGGACGTGTTTCGATAATATTTGTTGTTTCTTATTCATCATGGTTATTATTTTATTATAATTGTTATTATTAATATGATCAGGATATAGGCTTCCCTTATTGCCTGTAATGCATAGCAGGTGTTGTTAGGTCTAGTTTTAGTGGTGGAGTATTATGGTGTATGCTTACAGCTTGGCTATATGGCCACGATTGCTGCCTCTTCTTAGGTGACATAAGGACAAGCTCCCACCTCCAGGAAAGATGTGTAATCAGAAGGACCAAAAGCAAAAGTAATATAAACACATAGACAAAAATCACCACTTTGGAGCAGAGATGTGGCTTTGGTTAACTTTCCCGTGCTACACCATCAGTGTGTGTGCAAATAGAAGCCTCCAGCAGGGGAGGGGGTGTCTCCTCTTTCAGGCCCCTCCTCTAACCACTGCCATATAGGTGGGCAGATATATATTGGGGAGTTAAAAGGAGAAAGATCAACACTTTTTTTTTTTTCCCCCAAACACTATTTTTTGTTTCTGAATGTCAGTTATCTGAATGTGCTCAGCGCCAATCTTGGGATGGCTGAGACCTCTTCTGTTGGGTTTTATAGATTGCCTTGTGTTAGCTGCTGCTCAGCTAACTCAGGCAGCATCCCAGCCGTGGGTTGCAAGGTTGATAGCTGGAGATTCTAAGCTTCTTCCTGGGAGAAAGGCGAGGTGTCCCGCCCAGGCTCAAAAGCACTGCCTCAGAACCCTGGTCAGGTTGTTTGCGGTTATCTGCGTGTACACAGCGTAAATATTGGGATGGTTGAGTCCTATTATGCTGCCAATTTACAGGTTGCTTTCTATTGATCGTATTGCTGCCAGACCGGCCTGGCAGCAGCAGCCATGACTTGCTAGAACAATAGCTGGAAATTCCAAGCTGTTACCTGGGAGTAAGGCGATGTGCTCTGCCCTGGCTCAGATACACATCTTCTGATTTGGGCCCGTGGGTGACATCAAAAGTCGCTGCCCCGCTCCCTCTCTCTGTGCCATGGGAAAACTGTCCTACCTGATGTTCAAGCTGAGATCTAAAACTGGGACAGGGACAGGTGTGTAGTTTCCTGCAGATTTGTTTTTTTTGTTTTGTTTTTTGTTTTTTGCTGGAAACGCCACTTTCTAAAAGGGCTGGCTTTAGCCCTGCCCTCTAAACTCTGCAGGGGCGAGGTAGTCACCGAAGCAGTTACGCCCTAAGAGTCTTAAGATGCCTGTATTTTCCTTAGTAGCATGATTTTTTTAAAAATGCGAGTTCGGGATACTGACATCCTAGATCTTATGATAGTTCCGGAGCTGTGGGTTTGTTATATTAATGCTTCCTTCGTGAGATCCCCCTCCCTTCTCACCGGAGCGTACCATACCTGGCTCCCCTGGCTTCAGCCCCGAACCGGAAGTCCCTAGACACATTATTAACATGGGTGAAAAGGCAGGCAGGCAATATACAACAAGAGGGAGATTAGCAGAGGAAAAGATGAAGGTAGCAGGAGACACAGAGAGGAATGCAATAGTTAAAGTGAATAGAGGTAGGTGCTATTAACTGTTGGTACCTGTAGGGACTGCAATCATGTAGCGAAGCAAAGTGTGTGGTTTGCTGAATGTAAAACTTGATGATCTGCTCTGTAAATCAGATCACTTAATTCACAATAAAAAGTTAAAAAAATAGTGAATAACTGCTACCATGACTAATTGTCTCAAGTATAAAGGTAGAAGTTTTTTAACATAAGGGTGGATGGGAAGATTAACTATAGTTAAATTAACTATAATCTAACATTCCTGGAACAGAGGACTGACCCTAGGACCATCAAGGGAGAAGAGCAAAAGAAGAATGTACGACTCTATCCAGAGAAGCAGCCACAACAGAGATGGAGGCAGAGATGACATGGAGAGAGAGAGAGCAGCTGGTGGACATGAGGCAGGCTTACAGAATGTTTAGTTGTTTAAATTATATTCCTGAATGTTTTTGTGTACATCCCCACCCTACCCCAAAAAATAAAAACAAAAACAGAGGGAATGGAAGCAAATACTGTTGAATGATGACGCATGGAGGAGATTGTAATCATTGCAATGAAATGATGAGTGTAAAACCAATGTTTTCCCATGTAAACTATCACTCAATTCACAATAAAAACTTAAAAAAAAAAAAAAAAAAACTGTACGAAACCAAAATTATTCAGAAAGACTGAAAAATAAATAAAATCCCAAAAGCAGATGCAAACAAAAAAAGTAGGATTCACAATATTAAACAAAGTTAATTTCAAGTTAAATAATTCAACTAATTAGTAAATTCTAATTCATTTATTGTTGTTAAGTGCCATCAAGTAGGTTCCAACCCAGAGTGACCAGTATAGGGTTTTCCAGCAGCGGGTGAACTTGAACCACTGACCTTGCAGTTCAAAAAGCTTTGTAGTCTGGCATATCAACCCACAGCGCCACACCAGGACTCAGTGACCCTACATAGGGTTTCCAAGACTGAAAAGGAACTCATCATCATGGCCCTATTTTCAGGAGAGCAGTTGCTATTGTTGTTAGGTGCCATTGAATCAGTACTGACTCATAGCGACCCTATTCACAAAGAACAAAACACAGCCCAGTTCTGGGCTAACCTCACAATTGTTGCCACGCTTGAGCCCACTGATGCTGTCACTCTGCCAATCCATTTCACTGGGGGTCTTCCTCTTTTTCTCTGACCCTCCAGCCTACCAAGCATGATATCCCTCTCTCCAGTGACTTGTCCCTCCTGACAATATGTGCAAAGTATAAGAGACAAAGTCTGGCCATTCTTGCCTTCAAGGAGCACT